CAGGACAGTGGATGATCCCAAGGAAATTAAATTCGAAGCGGCGAAGTTTTTTAAGGGTAAATATATGCAGCAGAATTCGTTTAAAGTCAGAAGTGATTTTGATTTGGCTACAAGACTTGATGAGGAGGACAAATGTCTTCTTGAAGCTGAATTCAACCCAGTTGATGTGAGAAAGGTCGTCTTTAGCTGTGACGGTAACAAGTGCCCAGGTGTTGATGGATTTAATTTTAAATTCATAAAATCTTGTTGGGACATTGTTGGACAAGATTTTACAAATTGCATCTTGGAATTCTTCAAGACAGGAGTTCTTCCTAAGGTGTTCGTGTCATCGTTCATATCGCTAGTGCCGAAAATTAATAATCCTCAAAAGTTTGAAGATTTAAGACCTATTACTTTGGTTAGCTGTGTTATTAAGATTATCTCCAAGATGTTAGCTTTCAGATTAAACAAGGTTATACACAAACTTATCTCTCCGACCCAAACAACTTTCATCCTGGGGCGTCAAATTTACGATGAGGTTCTGTTGGCCAATGAATTAACAGACTATGCTAAGAGATTTAAGAAGGAGTCTCTGTTTTTCAAAGTTGAATTCGCTAAAGCCTACGATTGTGTGGACTGGTCTTACCTTGAAGATATGCTTATCAAGATGGGTTTCGGTTCAATTTGGATGAAATGGATTCGAGGTACTGTCTTTAATAGTTTTGTTTTGATCCTTATTAACGGAAGCCCTTCGAAGGATTTTAAGGTTGGAAGAGGGTTGAAACATGGCGATCCGTTGGCACCGTATCTGTTTGCCATAGTTGCAGAAGGTCTCTCTTTTTTAGTTAGAGCTGCGGTTGTCGGTAACTTATTATCTGAATTCAAGATCAACGGTAAAGCCACTGCGAACCTGCTCCAATTCTCCGATGACACTCTGCTTATAGGAGATGGATCGTTTTCTAATATTTGGATTTTCAAGGCGATCCTGCGTGCGTTTGAATTGAGCTCTGGTCTGAAGATTAATTTTTCTAAAAGCTGTTTTTACGGAATAGGTATAGAAACTGTGTTCCTTGATGCAGCAGAAGAATTTATGCACTGTAAATCTGATAGGCTGCCCCTCAGTTTCCTTGGTCTTATGGTAGGAGGTAATCATCGTCGGGAATCCTTCTGGAATCCGGTTTTGTCTCGGTTGAGGAATAAACTTTCTAATTGGGCTGGGAGAAATTTTTCGATGGGAGGTAGAGTTTCCCTTATAAACTCGGTTTTAGTTAACATGCCTGTTCATTTCATGGCTTTTTTCAAGGCTCCCAAGAAAATTGTGAAATATATTATTGCTATCCAACGACGTTTTCTCTGGGCTGGGAATTCCAATAATAAATTCATCTCTTGGGTTTCTTGGAATGCTATCTGCAAATCTAAGGAGCACAGAGGTCTTGGTATTAAACATGTTGGTCATTTTAATAGAGCCCTTATAGAAAAATGGTTGTGGAGATTTCAAAACGACGGTAATGACATTTGGAAATCGACGTTAAATCTCAGATATGGTAACTTGAGTTTGAAGGTGCAGACTTATCCCGATGCCGGTGGTTCAAAATGTGACTCAAATTGGATGAAGGATACTCTCTCTAGCTCTAGCAACGGTCCCCATGAGGAATTTTGTAAGTTCATGGCTTGCAAGATTGGTGATGGTAGTGATACAACTTTCTAGTAGTCCATTTGGATCGGAGAGATACCTCTTAAAAGTAGATTTCTGCGTCTATTTCAGGGTTGTTCCCGTAAAGTCGCGAGTGTTAGTGAGATGGGAGCTTGGGAAGACAGTCAATGGATTTGGAATTTGAGTGAATTATTGATAGATATGGATTCTATTCATGAACCAGAGTGGACTGAATGTAAGTTGCTTTTGGATCAGACTGCAGCAAAAATAGATGTCGCTAATAATTGGAAATGGATTCTTGATGAGTCTCATTCGTACAAGGTTAGTTCTTTCTATTCCGCTTTAAATTCTTCCGCATTTGAGCTTGAGCTTCAAAGAGATAGCGTTATTCTTCTGGAGAACCTTTGGAAAACGGTACTACCGGCAAAAATTCAAACTTTTATTTGGAGGATGGCGTTAGATAGACTGCCTACTAAATCTAACTTGATGAAAAGAAGGGTGATTGTTGATACTCAACTTTTAGATTGTGCTTTCTGTTCGTCTAGTCTCGAGGACATATCTCATCTACTTTTCTCGTGCTCTAAATCCTTGTTGGTTTGGAATAAGATCTGCGAATGGGTTGATATATTGGGTTCATATCGGACGATAGTTGTTATCTTCATGCGGAGACTTGGAATCGAGAACTTCGGGCCGGTGCAAAGAGAATAAGATCGATTCAATTTGGTTTTTTTTGTACTGGATTTTATGGAGGGCCAGAAATAATATTACTTTCAATCATGAAACTTTTGATGTAGACGATATTGTTTTCAATATTAAAGTATCATCGTGGAATTGGTTGATTCTAGGTAGGAAGGATAGTAAGCATTGTAGCATGTACGAGTGGTTTAAATTTCCGTTTCATTTTTTGTAATAGTCCAGAATCTAGAAGTGGTTGTTGTATTGTTGTCTTGAGATTCTCTTAATCTCTTTTAATAATATTTGCTTATAAAAAAAAAAATTAAAAATTATATTACACAATATAAATATGAGTATGAAATGAATTTTAATATAATTAAAATAATATTTATAGAATGAATTCAATTATGATCAAAATATCAAAATAATGAAATTAAAATTTATACCAAAAAAGTTATAGGTATGAAATTGATTCGAAACCTCCCAAAAGCTTTTGGACTATATATAGAGATAAACAAATTAATTCTCTTTTTGAATCGGTGTTAAATAGTTCACTGGTTCATCCCATGTGCGGTCAGGTTATGCATCAGTTTTAAAATATACGTACGAGAAGAAAGAAAGTGAGACAAATTGACCATTTAGCAATAATAAAATAATATTATGACACGCTTAATAATATATAAGAGTTTAATGGTGATACACTGACAGTGTAAAAAAGTTTTACACTATCACTTAATGAGAATATATTATTTTGCTATGTCCTACAAGTATTTTAAATTTTATAGAGTGACTTAACGAGATGGATAGTCGTCATTGGTTGACAGTGTAAAAATAATTTACAATGTCACTACATCACCCTTTTTCTCGATATATAATAGTCAATTTCAGATACTATTTTAATATTATTTGTAAATTTTTTTTTTATTTTGAGTGAAAAATGATAGGTCATAAGTCATTATATAACAATATAAATAATACTCATTTTTAGTTACTCATATTTTCATATAATATTTATATTACTTAAGTGTTTTTAAACATTATTTGTAAATAAATTATCTTTTTATTTTAAGTGAAAAATGATAGATCATAAGACATTACATTACAATAATTTTGTTTTGTTTAAAATCATTTGTAAATTAATTATATTTCTTAATATTTTTATGATAATTATACAATTTTTTTTGTATTTAGATTTTATTCCTTGTATTGTATAACTTATAAATAATTATAATTTTTATGAATAGTATTATTTTAATGGTGGTAGATTAATATTATTATTATTATTATTATTATTATTATTATTATTATTATTATTATTATTTTTATTATTATTATTATTATTATTATTATTATTATTATTATTATTATTATTATTATTATTATTATTATTATTATTATTTAAAATAAAACATTAACATTTATATAGCCTCAAAACAAAATACACAGGATCATTGACCCCATCAAGTTGCTAGCTTTTACATGGATATCTAGCTTCCTATTTAAACTATATCTTACAATATTATATTATTATTTATTATTTATATTATTATTAATAATATTATTAATAGTGGTAGTTGAATATTATATTATTATTATTATTATTAGGATTAAATATGTATGTGGTTCTCCTAAATATTTTAAATTTCGTATTTAGTCTTTTAAAATATATATTTTTCAAAGAATGTATTTTTAAAGTTTTCCTCAACACTTTTGGTCTCTAATACTAAAATCGTCACTAAAGTTGTCGCTAAGTTAAAAACCGTTGTTAATTCTGGCGTTATGTTGTAAAAATCGAAGCTAAGTTGCAGAAGAGACAAAAAATATAGATTAAAATTGTAAAAGAATCATTATTTGAAAAAAAATATTTTAAGAGACTAAAATTGAAATTGAAATATTTATGAGGACTATAAACATATTTAACCTTTATTATTAATATTATTATTGTTGTTGTAATGCCAAAATAGTAAATAATAGAATTAGGGTTACACCTAGAGTTGAAATCAAAATGACAACCTTGAATTTATATATACTAGAAAATAATTGGTGCATTGCACGGTTGATTTATAATATATTAATTTTATTGTATATAAAAATTTAAATTTTATCAAAATTTTAGATTATTATTACTTTTCGTGTAATTTTTATACAATTATATTTGAATAATTATTATATGTAGTCTTATAAACACCTACTTAAGAAAAAGTTGAATTTTAAGAATTATAGAGAGTGTAAACAAAAACTTGCATTTGTTTAATTTCAATAAAATCTCAAAATTTAAACCATATTCCAATTTTGAAACCTATGAAATATGAACGTTTTGTACACTGTTATTATAAATAAAAAGTAAACACATGAGATGTTATAAATTATTAACAATAATAATAATTAGTAACAACTCTAGGCGTAACCCTAATTCTACTATTTATTAATTTGACCTACAATAATAATAATAATAATAATAATAATAATAATAATAATAATAATAATAATAATAATAATAATAATAATAATAATAATAATAATAATAATAATAATAATAATAATAATAATAATAATAATAATAATAATAATAATAATAATATATTTTATTAAAGTTTACAATATCATTCTCAACCAAATGACCCCCCTTTAAAATGAAAGAATTTTTATCTCACCAAATATGCCAAATTATTTTAAATCAAAACAACATTCACTATTTATTTTTGATACAACAACAAAACGAATTATCTGAATTGTCAGAAAAACAATCTCCACCAGATTTAAAACCCATTGCATAGCAACTTTTATAGCAAACTCCATCAGTTGTATCTTTGCATTTATGTATGCATGTATGTCCTGGAGGATCTTGAAAATCGGCGGATGCTGCAATCAAATGAAAGTTAATTAACTTATATGGTTAAGAAATATAAAAATTTAAAGCTAACATCATTTCATTACCTGTTGAAAGCAAAATTATAGCAACGCTTAAAATACATAAAAGAGAAAGGTGATGGAAACGAAAAGCCATTGTGTATGATTTCACTTTATCTTTAAATGACACAAACATTCCCTCTAATTTATATCAGACACTAACCTTCCCCAGACTCTTTTAAAATAGATAAAAATATCCCTTATCAATTTTACACCATTAATTAATCCATTAAATACTCATTTAGTTTTAAATTAGACATTAACCTCCCCAAATTCTCGTAAAATGAATAAAAATAAGAGATGTAACATTTGTATTCTCTTTTACATGTGATTCACTCATCAACTTAATATATATATTATTTATTTTTTAAAATTAAAAACTAATATTTTTCTATGGATGATGGTTGCTCTATAATTAAAGATTTAAAGGCAACCTTGCATTTGTTGTTGTATTTAACAATTATAATTTCTTGTAATTGTTATGGTACTACCAGAAAAGTAAATATCAAATTTGTCATAAAACTCAAATCTGTTATAAACATATATCATAATTGTAACAATTAAATGGAAATGACAATTAAAATATTCCTAAAATAATAGCATATCTCTAAAATCAAAATATATTTCCAAAATCATCTACATCACATCTTGACGAGTGTGACTGAGCATTCTCGTGAGCAATTTGACTATTTATTAAGTGATCTTGACTTGCAGCTCCATGGTTACTTTCCATGTTTGCATAAGCCGCACTACTGTTTTTTTAGGTCACACACAATTTACCAATATATTGTGTCCAAATTCGGTACAACTTTCACATTTAATTGTGTTTAATCTTCTTGCATCTCGATGACCACCTGACCTGGAAGTCTCATTATGACACAAGCAATAGACTTTAGTAGTATACACACTATTAGAAAATAGTTCTATATTTTCTCTATTGTATGCAATGCAGGCACATGCATGTTTGCCTGGCATATCCATATTTCACTTGAAACTCATCATTATTTGCATATATAAGTTTACACATTCTTCCATCTTGCATTGTAGTATAAGCACCTTTCTAATCTTAGGTGTAATAATGTTCTTCAAACCATATCCTTTTTTAAACCTTGTATGAAATATAGCCATTAATAATATTGTAAAAATTTTATGTGATTTTATTATTGATATTAGTTGAAATACTAGAATTCTTATTTTAAATATTACTATCTATGTTTTTTATTATCCTTCTATGATCAATGTGAGAAAAAAATTATTGAAATTGTAAATAAATTTTGACAAATTCTATATATTTATATGTGAGAAATTAATAATATTGTTATTTGTCTTTAATTTATTTAACCGACATGATATGAAGAATATAGAAAATAAAATAAAATAGAAAATATATATCAAAATTTATTTTCTTTAATTTTTATAATTAAAAAATAATAGCAAGAAAAACAAAAATAGTATCATATAAGTTTTATGAAAATAATATGCATTGAAGTTAATAAGTAATTAACAAGTTAAAATATATTTGCATTTTTCGGGACTTGAATATATGACCTTTAATACTATGTAATTGTATCTTTTGAAAAGTGAAGATAAATTTTAAAAAGTGTCACATAAAAATAATAGTGATGTGACACAAATTATATTGAAGTGTTCTTCTGATTTAATATATTATAATAAATAATAGATTATGATTCAATTGAAAAAGAGAGTTGATTTTTATTTAGTAGTAATTATATAAAAATTAATTATACCATAAAATGTTGCGATTTTTTTTGAATTTCCATGTATCTTTAATGCATTGAGAAGTGATTATTCACATATACTTACTTTGGTAGCGCCAACGATTTATATTTCACATGTATTAATTAATGTTATAAGAGTATCTTTAGTGGGATTAACTTAAGTGGCTAAACTAAGATTTTTTTGTGGGTCTAAAGTGATTTGTAAGATTTAAAAAATATATAGTTGATTTGAGTTGTTTTTACTTTAATGATAGTTGCTTATAAAAAACTAAAACTTGACCCTATATTTTATATTTTTTAATTGTAATTAATTTTTTATTGAGTTTTTAATTGTAATTATATGTTTCAAAATAAATAGCATACGTTAGCTATATAATTGCCGAAAACTAAAAATTAGTGAATTAAATGTCATGTCATAGTCATTTCAATACAAATTCTTTATTATTATCATTAAGTATAAAAAATTTAACTATTAAAAATTTGCATTAAAAGATCAATAACAACCACCTTTTATATATATATATATATATATATATATATATATATATATATATATATATATATATATATATATATATATATATATATATATATATATATATATATATATATATATATATATATATATATATATATATATATATATATATATATATATATATATATATATATATATATATATATATATATATATATATATATATATATATATATATATATATATATATATATATATATATATATATATATATATATATATATATATATATATATATATATATATATATATATATATATATATATATATATATATTTAAAAATAGGATTATTTTAATATTATTATAACAATATTAGTTTATAATAGTATTCTAACCATAACATAATCATTTTGAATAAATAATATATATTTATGATTTTGCGAAAAGTAGTTAAATGAGAAAACAATGTCACGAAAGCGGTCAGGTTGTGTTGTAGAATCCTATATTCTTTTATTGTTGATGTTTAATGTCCTGTATCAATAATCTAATCACTATACCACCACGACGAATTAACAAAATCGTTAAAGATGACCCCTCACGAATTAACTCACTAACCACTACTCGAAGCTTTTATCCCCAGTCTGCCAACGTAAGCAGGGTTAGGCGATATATAGAATGTTAATTCTCTATACCACTAGTCAGGGTCTCCTTTCCATATTCAACCAGCGTAAGTAGAACAGTTGCCCTAGGTCTAACACATAGGCTAAGGGTCAGTAATCCCTATGTGTTCAAAATCAGATTAACAGAGTATCTTAAATAAAAATCATTAAGATTAAGTAACAACTGAATAGAATTATAGATCAAAGGTTCATACAAAGGTCAAATCAACGTAGAATCCAACAATATAGAAATAGGTTCCTCATAACACAACCTAACCTAATAGAACTTAGCTAAACATCATTCAGAAAATAATACCATAATCAATATATGAAAATAAAATGAGAAGTCCCTTGAAGAGGTGACCTACATTGCCTTCAAGTGCTTTAAATATCCCCAATTGTGCTCTCAAAATTGCGCTTTAGCCTCCAATATTCATAACCCTTATCAATCAGTTGAAAAATCCCCTTAAAAAGCCCTCTGAACAATTCAGAACGCGTTGGATAAAGCCTAGAAAAGCACTCAGCGCGTATTATATAAGCATCGCCCGCACAATACAACTCTCATTTCTCTATCGTGCACGCGATAACGCGCGATGGTGTGCGTGATTATTCTAGTAGCTGCGTGTTTTTTCCCTCTTTTGCACCAAAATTTCCACTAAGTCCCATTCTTCAATGCTTGGCTATTTTTCACTTATTCTTGGATATTTCTTCATCATTTTGACTTATCTTTCGCTTGTTTTTGCTCGATTCTTCGACTAATTAGATGCAATGACGGACTCTCATCAAAAACTTGAATCTTTGCTTGTCCTCAAGCAACTCACCTACAACTACATATTTCAATAGACAACAAGTCGTACAATAACAATTGAACGTCACCATATTTTTTTCACAAATTTATGTCGAAGAAGTGTTCTGCAAACACATCAAACATTCAGTGCTTATTGAAATAAGTGCTTATCGTATAAATAAAACCAAATATCTCAAATTCATCTTCATACCTGCATTTTAGTTGCCATCACATTTTCAGTTATATATATACATTAGAATTGATTAAGTGCTTATATATACATTAGACCTGCATTCCAGTTGCCATCATATTGTATAAGTGCTTATATATACATTAGACACGTGCTATGTGAAAACATGTCTGAAAAAACTGTTTAAAAAGCACAATTTGTCAAATATTGTGAAAGAAACGAGGTTGCCAACCTAAAACTAGTCAGTATCCCAATGAGGCGTAAGAGCTTTGCTGAGAAAAATGGCTCCTTTAATATTTCCAAAGAAGATGGATCAGAAACACTGTCGCCTACAGATTTACAAAACAAGACAATGAAATGTACGTTTTAAAAATACATCCTACAAGAACTCTGTTCTAAACATATCATACAATTACAATAATAAGTAGATTAATTCATTGCCGGAAGATACATCCATCAAAGGTAATACACATCATGATTCGTGAATTTCACGAAAATAATTCATCGTATTAAATAGCAATGCTGATAGTATAACTATATAATACACTAATATATAGCAATAAATGGCTTTGAATAAAAGAAAACTTGTGTAGTTGTGGGTATAGTAAAAGGAGGATATGCTATATTATATTTTATTTGAATCTCATATGAAATAAGATATATTCAAGTATTTATAACATTAAAGCTAGTATAGCCATTGTTCCCCAAATTTCCCATAGTCAACCCCAACAATAAATCAGAAATAGACTAAAGCTATGGCAGTAATGAACTTCGGGAGAAATAAATGCCCCAAAGCAGCCAGGTATGATGGATCATCATATTTGTGAGAAAAAGTTATATATATATATATATATATATATATATATATATATATATATATATATATATATATATATATATATATATATATATATATATATATATATATATATATATATATATATATATATATATATATATATATATATATATATATAAAAGAAGTGGTTTAGAAGTTGAAGGAATTTTCAATTGTCATGTTTAATCTCTGGGGGAGTTTTCAACAAGATCAACAAACCAAAGATGCTCTTGCTGAATCCAAGGTAAAATGACAAAAGAATTGATTTTGAATGAATTGGATTTATAAAATTGATTCTGGTGAAAATTGGTTTCCATTTGGATGTATTCGTATAAAAGTGATTATGGTTAAAATTGAGTTGAAAATAAGTTAGAATCAATTCTGAAGAGAAAATTAATTTTCTTG